AAAAAGGATCATGAGTTCAAGGCCTGCCTAGACTAGAAAGCCGGACCCTGTCAGAGAAATAGAATGAAGAAAAGAAGGAATGAAGGGAGGGAGAGAGGAAGGGAAGGAGGAAAAGAAAGATGGAGGGAGGGAGGGTAAAATGACAAGTTGTAGTTCAATAGTAGAGAAGTTACCCAGCATGTGCTAGGCCTTGCGCTCAATCCCCAGCAATACACACACACACAAACACACACACACACACACACACACACACACACAGAAAGAGAGACATGCACGCACACACGTGCACACACTACATGTTAGTAATCCATGCGAACTTTGATTGAACTGTGGATATAGCTCAGGGGCTGAGCACTTGCCTAGCAAGCACAAGTCTCTGGGTCCCCCACCCCATAACTCAAAAAAAAAGAAAGAAAGAAAGAAAGAAAACTGCAAAAATGAGAAGCTAAGTCGAGAGTTTTCCTAACAATTAACTGATAGATAATGCATGTGCTGATTAAACTGATGGAGATGTTCCACAAAGCATCTGTGTTGCCAGACAAAGCTCACAATCTTTGTCAGTTTAAAAAGTAAAGTATTCAACGTCTAAAGTAGTGGGGTGAGAGCCAGTGAGTGGGCTCCGTTGATAAAGGCACCTGCCATCAACCCTGACAACTTGAGTTCCATCCCTGGGTTCCATGAGTTGGACCTTCACACATTTGTACATTTGGTCATTTGTGCACACCACACACACACACACACACACACACACACACACACACACACACACACACACACACCCTGTAGAGAAAGAGAGAGGGGGGAATAAGTAAGGAAACAATTTTAAGTTCTCACTTTGGAGCCTCTTGCTTACGTGTAATTTTCAGTTTTGAATTCTCGGTTTGTTGCATGAGTGCAGGTCAAATCCACATGTTGTATTTCTTTCCTCCAGTCACCGTGCCCCAGTACTTTGAGCAGAGTAAGACCGTCACAAAATTCTATCGAGCATACGAATGTTTAACTTCCATGTGTCTAAATATACAGCAGAAGCCATAAATAGCAGAAACCGAAGCCTGTTTCTGCAATGCAGTGTGAAGGTGGGCATTTGTACCAATTCGGGTTTATTTTTAACCTTATTCAAATATACAATTGTTGATCCAGAAATTTATGATTTTTCTTCAAATTCTATATTAATTATCACAATTTCTCATTTACTTTCGCATCTGTCTAAAAAAAAAAAAAAAGCTATAGAAAGACAGCCAGGCATGTGTGGTGCATCTTTAGCCGAGCTGCCTTTCACCACACCTTCTAGAGAAGACCATTCTCATGTCCGTTCCCTTCCCCTTTTCCAGGCATTTTCTTTTTAAGAGCACCCATGTGTTCAGCCCCAGTTACCGTAGTGGGGCTGGCTGCTCATTTCGTTCCTGCCATCGCTGCTACCCACTGGTCGCCATGGCTAATCAGATGGCACGCCAGCCTGCACCAATCATTAAGATGACCCAAATTAGCAGTCCAGCCATGTCACAGTACATTCATTCCACATATACAGACATGGCCTAAGTATGAGGCGGAAACCTGCATGCACTTCTCTGTGTTTGCATTGCACCGGGCTTTATTGATTAGCGTGATCTGCTTTGGCACTTGAAATCTGCAAGTGGGAATCATTTGTGAATTATTCTGAAGACAAAGCGGATGTGCCTTTTCCTCCCAGCAATTCCCTTCATTTGTCTTTTTCCTCCAGTTGGATTATAAAACATCACAGCTTAACACGTGCCCAGCTCTTTACTTAGAAGGGACTTTTAATCATTTCCGTTTTCTATCTTAAAAAAGAAACTCATTTTTTTTTCCAACCAGGTAAACAAGGCAGCACAGACTCAGAATTGTTAAGTTCATCGTCAAAATTTTGTGACCCGATTGTCTTGTCGATCTTAGTCAGTGGAACTCAGTTCTTAGCAGTTCTACGAGAAGCCTTCTCTTAACCACAGCTATGACTGTTGGCATCTCGCAATGCCTGTGTAAATTCATCCCCCAAATATTTGCATTCTCGATAGTCATTTTTCTACAATACAGTCTAATAATTAGAGGGTCCCATTACCTGCTAAATGTTTGCATAAATTACCAGTCCATTATGCACAGTAAGTTTTATAAAACATTTACAGATAGAGATCATGTTTAATTAAAATTAGCTTCCATATGTAAGCCAAGTGTGCACTAATGAGTCACAGTGACCTTTTATTACCTATAGTCCCTTGTTTTGGATGGATGATTGACAGCTTGCTGTTTGGCTACCATGTTGAATTTTAGCTGACAAGACTTTTCATTTTAGCTCAATTTGCCCGCCTATCACAAGCTGGTGGCAGGCCAGACCCCAGTCACCCAGCTTTGCCTCGGCAGCTTGCTCTAGTTCTCATTAGTACGCATTTATTCAGTGGGAATTGGAAGACAAATGCTTGAAGGCATGTGAACTAAGTATAGCAAATTAGGTTTAAAGACTGAATATTTATAAGTGTATGGAAAGTTGGGCTTTTTTTTTTTTAATTCTAGAGCAAATTGAGAACCAAGTGCTAGCTTTAGTATAAAAGAAATGAAGATAGAAGGGGGACAGTTCTAAGAATAAAAATACTATAAGCTTTTTCTTTCCATTTTGGAACTCTGTAAAAATCTCTCTGACAACACCTTATCGCATGAAAACCTGGCTTCTCTTTCATGGAATGCTTGCACAATGAGGTTCAGCGCCTCGTGTGTGAGAAGGGGGAGAAATGAGGGTCAGGCTCAGTTGTTGCTTGGTTGTCCCTTGGTATGTTTTAAACTGCCTTGTTTGTTCGGCAATAGCAGGAAAACAGATGTTGCTCTACCGCACAGGATAATTTACTGTACCTCCCGGTGTAGCATGGAAGTCCTCCCAGGGCCCAGCCGCTCTGTCAGTGGCACTGCCTGGTGTCTGCTCAACAATGACAACCCCAAGGAGAAGCTGCACGTTTTGTGCTCTGTGCCTATTGTCATTCTCAACGTATAGCTCTGCCCCCCGGTTCATGCTGGGGCTGGTGGAAATGCGGCTGGCTTTTGTGTCTCGATGCTCTGTACCCCGCACACCCCACAAGCTCCCCTCTCCACTGGCGATAATAACACAACTCATTACTTCTGTCACCTAATGATCATCGGCATGATCGCTCAGAGCAAGAGCCAACCTCGCCTTGCACTCATAACTGGTACTGGAAGGTAAAACAGATTTGTCACTTACGAGCTGACTGCTGAGCCACACTTTGAGCTCCATTATTGTGATTAACTTCTGCATAAGATATGCTTGCCCAATTGTCATTTGTGATACTGCAGTGGGCACAAGCTGCCATGCTTCCCAAGAGCACAGCAGCCAATCAGATATGACCATGTTATTCGGACTGTTAAATGCCTACCCTGTCACAGCGGCCACCCCAAGCATTGTTTTGCTTTTGTATATTTCTTCTTCCCAAGCCCTACTGGACTTGTTGTGTGAACAGAACTACTGCATACGTAGGCTACTATTTCATACCACATGTTAAAATGATGCTATGCTATTGTTGGTCCAACAGGGCCAGCAGCGGGACTTGGGAAGTGGTACCTTGATTTTCACCACAGAAATGTTGGTTGTTGGTGCCTTGCCAGCCGAAATCTGTCGTGTCAGGTGCCTCGTGGCTATCTGCAATAGAGTTCATGTTCCCAAACCAAAGTTCTCTTCTAGCCCCATCACCAGCAAACCGATTTGACTCTGCCTGATTAGAATAACGAAGGCAGTCTAAGAGAATATGCATGGCCTCACTATACGTCACATTGAATCACCCCACTACCCACACGAAACTGACCGCAGCCTCATTTCTTTAGACAAATGCATGCTTAAGGAAAAACCTCCTGGGAGAAGGCACCCAAAGCTACTTCATGTCCCTGTGTGGGCTGTTCAGAGGTTTGCATTTTACCTATTTACAAAATAATGTTTATTTCTGTGTTTCTCTGTACGCAAGCCTCCACTAATGGGTCTGCCTTCAATAACCTAATAACTGGGCACTGGCTATGGCAGCACTGTGCTCGGCACCAAGAAACCGGGCTCTAAACATGTGTATGTGTGTGAGGTTTCTAAATTGCAAGTCATAAACACAATCATTTATTATCATGTGGAAGGGGGGAGCTCCCCTTGGAGCGCGTTCACACTGCTGATTAGAAAGAATCAAGCTTTATATTCCAGGATCCATTCACGCTGGTGGAAACATAGTCAGTTTTGATTATGAAGGGAGAGATGCAGCCCTGGACAGGAGCTACACTCTGATATGCATGCTATCAGAATGATTTATGCAAATTATGCATATTATTCCCAAAGGAATTCCTCCTCAAACTGCCAGGATAAATCGCCGGAAATTAGCCATAAAATCTGCCGTGCTAGGAGCAAAAGGTGAAGGCCACTGGGATAGCAAGGACATTCGGCTTCTGGAATCTTCCAGGATATGATGCTGGTGAATGTTGTTCTCCCTGGATGATGAGAAAAATGTGGTTTTCTTCCGCATCAGATAAAAATGTGTTCCTTTGAAAATTTTCCAGCAAATGCTGACTCATTTTATTTACAGCTAGCATAGAGAAATTTAGTGATATGCTGTCTTCAACGGCACCTACTACAATTACTGCTAACTGCCTAAGTGCTGTTAACTAGCTGAACCTGGCTTTAAAAACCTCACTTCTCTAAGACACTGGAGGCGTAACCCTGTTTGTGCACCAAGCACATCAGTCCCTTCCTGGACAGCAGTCTTTCTTTCCCCTGTTCCTAGACAGCACGGCTCTCTCCGGCCTGAAACTCCCCCAAACGATGTCGGGGCAAAGCCACCAGGTCCTTTACTCTCAGCATCCTCAGTCTCATTGACTTCCTCTTAGCTCACAATGAATGTGAAGAGAAGTATTTTCCCTGCGAGGCGAGGTTGCTGGTAATGTGTCCTAACAGGCTGCAGTGAGCGCTTCTCGAAGCACTCTTGTGACAAAGAGCCGTTGTTTGTTTCCTTCAGACAGCACGGTCCTTGAGGTTCTGCGGCTGTGCTCACACTCCACCATCATCCGGAAAGTTGAAGAGGATATGAATTTCAACTTAGAGACCAGCAACTACTGTCTACGAAAGGGAGACTTTGTGGCTATCTTTCCTCCCATCCTGCACATGGACCCAGAAGTCTTTGAGGCTCCAGAGGTAAATTAACACCATGTCTGTTATGACTGCCAGGAAAGCACCCCTCCCCCGCCCCCACCCTCCACCTTTCTCATCCTTTAGTTTATTCTCCCTGGAGATTTAAGGCAGCTGGGTGATGACTTCTGTACTTCCCTCTAATAGGAAGATTTTGCCATTACAGGTCCCCCCCTCCAAGAATCTGCCTTTGACAGGTTGTGTGATTTGTGAACAAAAATTCAGATAAGTCTAATTATTTGCTGCTTAATTCAAATGAAATGGACACTTTTACCTTGGTCACGGTTGCTTTTAGCCACTGAATTAAGAGTCTCTTTGACAAGCAATTACTGAAACCCAAGAGGGCTGGCTATTGATATGTGGCCTAAAAATTAAATAATAGTAACTAGTTTGCTAAGCACCTCCAAAGTGAAGCTGACTTCAAACGTCAAATACCATCATCACTATCGTTAGGAACAAATAGTAGTTAAGTCCCTTTAGCTAAAGGTATGTGCTCCTGCTTGATCAATTACCATGGCACTATGAACTCCAAATTGCAAAGCTGCTGCTCTCGGGTGAAGCTCCGAGGGTAATTGTGTCATCTCCTTGTATTTTTTTTTCCGAAGCTGGAGTTAATGAATATCAAAGACTGGAAATTAATCCACCCCGGTTCATCCCTTAATACCACTTAAGAGAGTCACCCCCTGCATGCAAATGGAGTGCAGTTATATTCTGCTCTGCTTCGCATAAAGGATGCCACTGACTTGTACTGTTTACCGTCCACCTTTAGTGGAGGAAACGGCTGTTCTCTGCTCAAAGACTTCATAGACAGACCGCTTTCAAAGACAGGACCTCAGCTAGGTGTTCTGCACTCAACCTGAATTATAATACTGTTGAATTTAGGAAAACAATAAGAGGACAAACTTCAAAAGCAATGCCAGTTTGTATTTATTGAGCCAGCAGAGCCGGTGTCTTATTACAGGGGGAGAGGTGCATGGTTTCTTAGGCCAGGCCTTCTGCAGACAGTGACTGCAAGGAGGATGTAGAATTTCAGCCAATGGATGAGTGTTCTCCAGAGAACTAGCTGCATTTCTGCATTTGTGAATAATTCCAGTTGTTAGTGTACATTCAATAAACAACACAACTGAAATTAGTATCGGGAAAATATTTGGGAACTTCAAAATAGCAACCCTTCTTATAATTTTTCACTTCTGCCCAGGTTTTCTTTGTGATTATTCGATTAGTAGCAGAGTTTATTATTCATGTCATGAGAGTCAAATCAGAATTATTGTTGTCATCAAATAAGAAATGATCACCGGATTGCCACCATCTTTAGGAGCGCGCTTCTTTGTGCTTTCTCCACATCTCACTCTTCTATCCCCTTTAAAAAAAATCTGAGCTGCCGGGCGATGGTGGCGCACGCCTTTAATTCCAGCACTCGGGAGGCAGAGGCAGGCGGATCTCTGTGAGTTAGAGTTCCAGGACCGTCTCCAAAGCTACAGAAAAACCCTGTCCCAGAAAAACAAAACAAAACAAACAAACAACAACAACAAGAGAGAGAGAGAGAGAGAGAGAGAGAGAGAGAGAGAGAGAGAGAGAGAGAGAAGAAATTGTGAGTGTTGATTAAGGATTTGTGGTACACATCTGTAATCTGGCATTTGGAAGGTTGGTATAGGAAATTAACAAATTCAACCACAATCTTGGCTTTATTGCAAAACTGAAAGAGAAAGATACGGGGGTGGGAGGCAAGAGGAAGCCATAGGAGGAGGACGTTAAGGAAAGGGAGTGTGTATATATATTGCCCTGTGGAACCCAAATGATACTAATAGTAAACAAAAGGTTTGCCTCATACAAAAATCACTGGGAGAATAAGATTTCAATATTGTGAAAAGTAATTTAAAATCATTAGGATATTTAGTGAATCTGTTATTTAGTAGGTTTTAGCATCATTAGTAATACCTGACTTGTGTTAGCATCAGGTAATTTTTCCTACAGTGTTGTGGTTTGTTTTGTTTTGTTTTTGAAATTAGTAATAGAATGATGATCATTCTGTGTACAAAAACAAAAAAAATGCTTTGGAACCATTTCTTTTATCTGATTTTGCCAGCTATTATTTTTTTTTATTTTGTAAACATTTGCTAAACACTTAGCACTGTCAGGTGATATATAAATGTATTTTCTTTGATTCTTTTCTTTTAATCGTAACACTTTTATTTTACTTTTTTAAAAAATATCTTCTTTTTCATTTTACATACCAATCAAAGTTGCCACTCCCTGCACCTCTCCCGTTCCCTAAACCTTCCCTCCCACCCCCCCATCAGAGAGGGTAAGGCACATTGCTTTGAGGAAGGTCCAAGGCCCTCCCTACTATATCTAGGCTGAGCAAGATATCCCTCCAAAGAGAATGTGTTACAAAAAGCCAGTCCAATCAGTAGGGGTAAATCCTGGTGCCACTGCCAGTGGCCCCGTAGTCTGCCCCTGCCATACAACTGTCACCCACATTCAGAGGGACTAGTTTGTATCTATGCTGGTTCCTTCCCTGTCTGGCTGGAGTTGGTGAGCTCCCATTAGCTCAGGTAAGTTCTTTCTGTGGATGTCCCCATCATGATCTTGACCTCTTAGCTCAGATTCTCACTCCTCCACTCTTAAACTGTACTTTGGGACTCACAAATGAGGTTGCTATGCAATTCTTCTCTGTTGTGTATATTAAAAGTTCCTATCAATCCAGAAAAATGGATCTTCTATCCAAACTGGCTCCAAGTGTTACAGTGTTGCATAATTAAAGGAAAGTCCACGAGAACCCCTAATATGCTTGTAATGTCTGGCTAGCTCAGTTGGTAGAGCATGGGATTCTTAATCCCAGAGTTGTGGGTTCAAGCCCCTTGTTGGGTGCCAGAATGCTACATAATAAAAGGAAGATCCACGAGAGCCTGTAATAAAGGATAACAAATGTTTAATGGGGATCACTCACAATAAGAGAGCCACTGTGTTCCTCTACTATCTGGGGGCTGGGAGCTCCGGACCGAACTCTGACCACCAACCAAGGGAAAGGAAAAGGGGCTAAGCAAGCTTCCTGTCTGTACCTCAGATCACAGCCTAATGGGCTGGTATCTAAAAGGCGATTGGCTGAATGAATTCCCACAACACCTCGGTGTTGAACAGTTTCTGCTATTTGTATACGCTGAATCCGCAGCCGCTTCCCATTCTCACTCAATTCTCTATCTTCTCTAAGACCAGGAATCGGAGTTTTAAAATGGGCATTGCTGTCATTTGCTCAGTAGTCCAATAAACATATGGGGAACGCGGCCAAGGGAGTGTCCCTGTGTTGGAGGCTGTGAGAGGGAGATGAAGAGGATGCTGGGGAGTCCCTCACTCTGCCGTCTTCCCTTCTAGTTGCAGTTGACTTCCTCACCTTTGCATGATGAGGTCCAGGGAGAGACTCATCACAAGCCATTTCTCTCTGTACTTCTTTCTTTCCAAGCAAAGGGTTTATTGAGGACCCTACAGACTTTCTTTCCTCTGTGCCATTGGACGGATTGTTTCCAATTCCTAAACCCCAAGTCAGTTAGAGGTTGTTCCAGTACAACCCCCAGTGGGCAGCAGGGAGGTTTGGTGGCTTTCACATCCAGTCCTTCCAGCACCTTCCAGTGGAGCTCGTGGACCTTTGATTTACATTCCTGTTTTCTTCAATAGCTCAGGTGGGATTCTAACACGCTTCCCTTTAGGGGGAAAACTGAACTAATTCGTAAAGGAGATTATAGGCATTCCTAACATAGACCTGTCAGGGTTCTCTATGCACAAGCAGTGAAACAAAAAAATAGCTGAGCGGTAGTGGTGCACTGGTGCACGCCTTTAATCCCAGCACTTGGATCTCTGTGAGTTCGAAGCCAGTCTAGTCTACAAGAGCTAATTCCAGAAAAGGCTCCAAAGCCATGGAAAAACCCTGTCTTGAAAAACATATATATATATGTACACATATATGTATATATATATATAATTCTATTCAATTTTATATATTTGTATTCTCATGATAGTCACAGAGCAAATGCTACTAATAGTTTCCCTTTTAATTTTACTAAATAAACCATTAAATGGAAATTTCTGAGATATTAATTCTGAGGACACTACGAAAGAAGGACAGAAAAGTAGAAGGGAAAAATTAACGATCTGCTAGAAGTTTGAGGGAGGTGCCCTAGCCTCTCACAGGGCCGCCAGCAAGGTCACTGAGAAATGACAGGGCAGCCTTGGTAGCTTCGTAGCTTCGGGCTTACTTTTCGTTATCTGGATAGATGTCATGAAGTCATAACTTATGTTAAGTTTTCTCTTTTGCATTTTCTGGCACAAACAACAGAACTACAGTGAATTCTCTTTCCTCTGGGATTGTGCTCCATGTCGAAATCTACCTAAGCTGTTTGGCCTGAGCAGGAAGCTGTGGGAAAGAGACCAATCTCCTCAATTGGTCAGCAGGAAGAAGAGTGCATCCGTGCTGAGTTCAGGATGGAGTCAGAAGCCCCAGAATGGAAGATCACCAGGGGAGGGTCCCATGTAGCTCCCCTCTTTCTCTAGAAACACTGCGTGTGCACAGAGAGTACCACTGTGCTTACTGTAGAAATGAGCAGCTATTTTCAGTTCTGCATTGGTTAGGTCACCTTGGATACATTCCCTAACAGTGGTAAAACACACTTCTACTCTAGTGTGGTTAAGGTATCACTTGTTACGAAATAAAGCAATTATACAATGCTAAATGATTTTGTCAACATCGTTGTACTGGCTTGCAAGTTGGGACAGAGTAGGAACAGGGAAAACTTTCTCAAAACCCAAACGCTTAGCAAATTAAGTATTAACTAAAGTAACTCCAGATAAAGGAAGTGACTAACCTGACATTACTAAACTTGCCATGGAAGGAGTTTGAACATTTGTGGTGCATTCATAATTTATCCACATTGGAGTGTTTCACCATAATCTGAAACATGTTGGATCTGACCTACTCTCTATATGTTCTATATTATATATAATTTCATGTAGTTCATATCAAAGTTGTGGTTGAGCAGATATAATGAATGCCAATTAAATGAAATAATTGTCTTTATTCAAACCACGAGCACTAATTTAATTGATGGTTTAATTCACAATGGACTAAAATCAGGTCACTCAGTACCCTTTAACCAACTCAAGTGAGAGTTAAGCCAAGAAATTTTGGCAGCATGGCAAAATTAAGGCTGCAGGTCAACTACCCTAAAATAACCAGCTCTCTAATCTTCTGTAGCAAGTAGTATAACTTATTTATGAAAATATGTCATAAGTTTCTGTTATCTAGAATTAATCCAAGCAAAGAGCACTCTAATAGAAATGTCACATGAGAAATCCAACTTAACATAAAAAAAGACAAAATTTTATTTTCTACTTAGGTTCTCTCTGGGGCTTTGTTTGAATCTTATTATTTTCTGTCTCTTTAATTCAAACATAAGCACTGAATCCTAAATTCATATTTGTCCATCAATAGATAGTTGGGAGGATAAATGAATATAAACTGTGGCCACCAAGATGTGTTATGTCATTAGTGACAATGGTAGCCGTATAGGAGACCCCTTATACCCATAATTGGCATATCAATGACCTTTATAGCAAACCCATCATAGAGGACTGAAATGGAGACAGATGTAGTCTTTATAATTAAAAAAAAAAACTCACTGTAATCACTGTGATTTGAGTATTGAGCATCCCATCCGAAACTCATCCTGAAATCTAAAGGCCATTTTGGTGGTTAGGGGTAAGGCCTTTGCCACGTTACTTGTTATCACTTTCTTGACACCATATTGGCTGCCAGAAAACTGGCTTATTCAAGCCATAGACTGCCTCTCTTATCTTTACTCTTCTCAAAGCACCAAATCGTTCTGGCATTCTCCGTTGCAAGGAGCAGCACAGAGCCCCATTAACTCCAGGCTCTTAGATTTTTGGACTCTAGAATCATGAGTCAAAGTAAACTTCTTTTCTTTTGTCAGTTACCCAGCCTTCAGGAGTCAGTGGTAGCACAGACACCACTTAAGAAAAGACAAGAGAAATGGGAGTGGATACGTGCTTTAGGTATTTGAATGCAGGTGTTCCCTATAACATTGGAATTTTTCTGAAAGTTTGGGTACGCTGTTTCACGTATTCAAGTTTTACTTCCTCCTGTATGTTTTCAGACCAAACACGCAACCTTGCTCAGCAAGATAGACAAGGAGAGACAGCAACCTAGTAGACCTAACTCAAACTAATTTAAGTAAAAATTTAATTTTAACAGTGTCTATTATTCTTTATAGGAATTTAGATTTGATCGATTCCTAGAAGACGGCAAGAAGAAAACAACGTTTCTCAAGGAAGGGAAAAAGCTGAAGTATTACATTATGCCATTTGGATTTGGAGCCAGCAAATGTCCAGGCCGATATTTTGCAATTATTGAAATGAAGCTAGTATTAGCTATACTTTTAACTTATTTTGATTTAGAAATAATTGGCAAGGAGCCTGTAGGACAAAACCACAGTCGTTTGTTGTTCGGTATTCAGCAACCTGATTCTGATGTCTCATTCAGGTACAAGGCAAAATCTTGGAAAAGCTGAAAAGATGGCAGAGAAACTTGTCAGAGTGAGGCTACGTACGCTGAGCTCTGTGGTTTGTTGTACGCCTGCAAATGCGACAGCTATGCTTCTTTGTTTGAAAATGGCAAATTTACATTTGATCTGAGATTGATTCAGTTTGTTCTTGGTCACAAAGCCTATCATAAGTTAAAGCAAGGCGGTGACCTAAACACTGTCAGGGCAGTCATTTCAGGGTTAAGTTCGAAGTAACAATTTCCACTTGTACTTACTGTGCTTTGTATCATTGGTTGTGAATGTGCTCTTCCAGTAATAAATTTGGCCCTGAGTGATTTTTTTAAGTTACTGAAATCCTCTAATAAGATTTTATGTACTGCTGGAAAAGTGTGTCTTTGGACAGCCAAACAACTTCCAAATTCTCAGAAGAGAGGAAAATTAATTCCCAGGAGTTATACTGTATGAAATGTTCCCTTCAAGTGGAGTATCAATAATGTCTATATTACCAGCGTACCTTTGCATTAAATGAGTGTTACAATAGATTAAATGTTCCCACTTCCCTTCAATATTTAACTGCCCATAAATGATTTTTATAACTTGTGTATTCTGCATTTCAATAGAACAAAAAACCTTTCATGTTCAAGTTAAATACTGCTAAAATTTCATATATAAGAAAACACAAAACCTATTATTATATATTCAGCAATTGCTCTAGACATTAGTATTAGATTTATTTTAGAGGGAAATGTTGAAGTCATTATGGCATTGATGGTAGTATTGGTCTTTAGTATAAACTGTGTTATTCTAATTGTAATGCACTCTTTAATAAATGTTCCAATTTATATAAACTGGGAATTAGGTATTATTATACTTATTCACAACCTTTTGGTCTTAGAGGTTAGTTGTATTATTTTGGACTATCACACTAAACTATAATAAGTAATTTCATATGATATAATACAGCCTGTATCAATAATTAAAAGATTTCTACTATAAAATTTCCCAGTGATTGACATTTGGCATAAATGGAGACACGGCATGCAAACTCACAGGGCAAATAATTAAGCCAGATTAATTCATGCTGCATTAATTAGAAATTCTAATGCTTTGGAAATTTTATATTGTTGTTAGCAAGGAAATTGATTTAAAATAGCACTCTAAAATGCTTATCGTACTAGGTAAATACAAGGTAGCATTTTTTTTTCTCCCTTCTGGAGCATATGTTCATTGAATGCTCCTTGCATGAAAGTCTACTGACATGAATTCTGTTTTTGCTTGATTAAAGTGGTCTTTATTCCCAATCTCCTTCCTTTTAAAAATTGCAAAATGACCATTTATAATTATATAAATTCACAGAATACAAAATAAGGTTATGGTTTATGAAAATGATGTGGAATGATTAGACCAATCCAAATGATTAAATCAACCCAGATACTTATGCAACTTTTAACACAGAGTGCTCTATTATTAACTATATTCACAAGGCGATGTACTAAAACTCTTCCCACCCACCCCCCACTGCAAAAGACTGTAATTCTCCTGGATGGGATGTTTTTACTTTTTGATCATTTCTCCTACACTTTCCTAGCCTTCTACAATCATTATTTCACTCTGTACTTTGATAAGTTTGATTATTTTGAATTTCATATGTTCTAATATTTTTCCTTGCTATGACAAGAAGATTGTGACAAGAACAGTTACTTGGGGAGAAAAGAATTTATCAGAGGTTACACATCCAAATCATAATCTATTGTTGAGGGAAATCAAGGACTGAACTCAAGGCAGGAACCTGATACAGAGAAATGCTGCATACTGGCTTGCTCACTGGCTCATTCCTAACTAGCTTTTTATTAACCACACCTACCAGCCCAGAAAATGGTACTGCCCACAGTATCTTCACCCTGCTACATTAATCATGAAGGCTGTCTTTCACTGGCATGGCCATGGGCATCTGATGAAGGCAATTCTTCAGTTGAGGTTCTCTCTTCCTACATACTCTAGATTGAACCAAGATGACATTAAAACTAATACATGAGGTAGAGTCCATAGTATTCGTCTGTCTCTGGTTGCTTTTACTTCGTATCCTCTAAATCTGTCTATGTTTAATCAAATAACAGTATTTTTTTCAAGACTAAGCAATATTCCATCATGTGTCTTTATTCAAATGCTGTCTCTAATCACCCCTACCTCCTCTATACAATTTCATGACACCCTTCATTCTCCTGGAAACAAAGGACACATGTGTTGTCCCATCCCCAGGCCAATCTGACCCTCTTCCTTCTTGAGAGTCTCTCTGGTTGAATTTTGAGCCACGAACATCATGTCACCTTTCAAATTTTCCATCTCACGAATTTTCTTAGTTCAGTGATTGCATTTTTTGGTTGGTAACTCATTGTTCTTCATGTATATTTTCTTCATGGCCATATTTTACAAAAATCTTGTTCCTTTAATGCATTTCACTATCCCTGTAACTACAGTCAGCATGGTTTATATTCTGCACCTGGCTTGTCCAGCCCTCTCCTGTTTTATGTGTCTGATTTTGTAATTTCCCCTTCCCATCAGTGCTTCCAATAGTTTAACTACTGAGTTCGTATGTGTTCCTTGGAATTTTACTTCTGGAAAATGTTTCTGATCTGGGTTTAATGTTCATTCCTCAAAGTATAAACTGTGCTTGGTTTTATCTTATTGTTCATGTTTCTGTCAAATTCAGATTCCTGGGGATGCTCAACTAGAATATTTTGGAGGCGACATGGTACACTGCTGACTGTGAATTCCAGCCTTAAAGGAAACACTGTGATTAAGGGCAGTTTGTTTTGATTGGGGATTTTGTTGTTGTTTTGCTATATGTTTGCTTGCTTACTTGTTTGCTTGTGAGACAGGGCCTCATTGTAAAGCAGTTATGTCTCACAAAATTATACCTGTCTCTGCCTCCTGAGTGCTGGACTTAAAGGGAATACTTAAAACCCGTGATCAGGAAAGGGCAAGAGCCACATTTGATTGCTTTTTTTGTTTCAACCAGAAACAGATTAAGAATGCCAATATGTCTAATCCTGCACTGTAGAGCAATGTTTTTAGTCCAGCTACCAAGGATGTTGGCTCTGAAAATTACTGACTTCATGCAGAGGTCTTGGATTTTATACACATACATGTACACATGCTCATACATGAGTGCTTATGTCATGTTGAACCCTAGACTGTCTCTTCTACCTGACACAAAACCCAATCTATTTCCGTTTTCTTACGTTTATTAGTTCTTTGTGAATTTTGTACAATGTGCTTTGATAATATTCCTTACCCTCCCCCAACTTCTCCCAGATGCATCTCCATCTCTCACCTGGTCAACTTTGTGTCCTTATTTCCCATCATGTACAATTTATGCTGCCCGTATATGCTTGGATGTGTGGCCGTACTGGAGCTTGGTTGATCCTCCAGTGTCCCGACCCTTAAAGAAAACTCAATATCCTTTTCCCAGCAACTTTAAGTTTCCAGTTGCTCCTCAGCTAGGAGTGGGACTTCACTCCCATCCTTACAGGCCTTGTACATGCTATCCTAACCACCATTGTTCATATCTTCAACTGCACTGGTATGTTCAGTAAATACTGTTGTCTAGCCATCATCAACTAACCCTGGATCTCACACTCTTTCTGCCTCTTCTGTAATCATCCCTGAGCCTTTGAAGGGGAAAATATAATACAGATGCACCACTAGGTCTGAACATATCACAATCTGCTATTCTATGAACCTTGACCAGTTGGGGTCTCTGTGATAATCACAATCTATTGGAAAAATAAGTTTCTCTGATGATGCTTGAGATATTTATTAATCTTTGGAAGAACAGTAAAATAATAAGAGATTGTTTAATACATCATGTTCATTTAGTAATAGTAGTAGGTTCTCCCCATGTCATATGTCATGTCTCGCCACAAGGTCTTGGCTCCAATAACAGTGCCAAGCATGGGTTTCAACTTATGGACTGGGCCTTAAATCCAATCAGAAAGTGATTGGTTAGTCCCATGATGTATGTGCCACTATTGCACCAGTCATTATTGTAGCTCATCTGGGTAAGATTGATGGACGTGCTTTTCCCCCTGGTAACACTCATCTTCCAGCTCCATGAAAGCTACCAATTGGGATGAAGTTTTCAGGCCAGTACCAGCATGGTCTCTTCTTGCTAAATAACTCTAGTTAGGCAGTCTTTAGAAGTGGGGTTTTACCATAAAACTGTTGATGGTATCCAAGAATATTGTAACAACTGTAATGTTTAGGGGTCTATGTGACCTCAATGACTAGCAATTTCAAAGGAGGTAACCTATTCCTGACATTGGGTAAAACGTTTTATTTGCTGTTCCATGGTGTATAGTTGGTATATTGTTGGTTCATTATAGGATAACTCCATCAAAATTCATTTTATATATGTGTGTGCATATATTTTAGAAAGATCCTACAGTGCTAGGTCATATACTTGATACATGAATATTTTAGCATTATTGTTTTTCCTTCATTTATTTGACAAAATATTTAATGAGCATTTTCCCTAGCTAGATATGCATTGGGTTAATGTTTCCCTTCATGAATATCCACTTCACTCGAGAAAACAACGTATAAAAAACTTACCTGTTGCTAGTTTAGTTATAAATAACAAATTTCATTTTAAAATTATTTTAATACCTTATTTAGAATACCTTCTAAATAGCCTTTTTCCTGCAACTATCAAAAAGCAGTGTTCCATAATAAATTATCATATACAAATTACACAAGCTATATAGAAAGACTATGGAGTCACTGAGATGGTTCAGTGTGTGATTCTGGCTGCTCTCAAGTCTGATGACCTGAGTTTCATCCTTGGGACCTCACATGGAAGAAAGAGAGAACTGACTCCTACAAGTTGTCCCCTGATTTATATATATACACGCGTGCACACACACACACACGCACACACACACACACACGCACGTGTAGATGTGCATAGACACATTCACGTGGTTAATCAGTGCATAGATAAATGTAATTTTAAGATGTTGTGAAGATATGATAAAAAATATAGCCAAAGTCAAATAATCACTGAGTCTTCAGAATTTTGTAACTATTTCATATATCCTAAATTTTCATCTTTTCATGTTTATAGCTTCACAAAAGTTTTGAGTAAATGGAAATATACTATTTTACATCAGTGACCACTGTAATTATATATATGATTGGCACCAGGATTTATCCCTACTGCATGTACTGGCTTTTGGGGATCCTATTCTCTTTGGATGTATACTTTGCTCAGCGTAGATGTACTAGGAAGGGCCTTGTACCTTCCATAATGCAATGTGCCTTACCCTCTCTGAGGATTAGATGGGGGTGGGGAGGGAGGGTGTGTGGAGGAAATGGGAGAAGAGGAGGGAGTGGGAACTTGGATTGGTAATTTTTTAAAAAAAATAATAAATTTTAAAAAGTTAAAACCAAAACAATGTGCACTCTTTTTTTTCTTTCGAGACAGGGTTTCTCTGTAGGGTTTCTTTGGAGCCTGTCCTGGAACTAGCTCTTGTAGACCAGGCTGGCCTTGAACTCACAGAGGTCTGTCTGCCTCTGCCTCCCGAGTGCTAGGATTAAAGGCGTGCACCACCACTGCCCAGCAAAATGTGCAATTTTTAACCTACTAAGTTTGTCAGTGTTGTAAACCATTGCTTAGTTCCACTACACTATTTGGAATTCGTACTTGAATACTCAGTAGGAAAACATTAGCATGTAAGATTACTCTGTCACACTGTTTTGAGTTATAGTGAGCAATCTAATAAAGCTGGGGCACTTACCTTTCACAATAATATCTCTGCTTATAGAGTTGGGTCAGCGGCCAATGAGTTTTGAACTTCTTAGCTTGAGTGTATTTTTATACTAAATTTCTAGTGTAGATTAAATTAAGTTCATGAATAATTTAGGTACACAGTTTTGAATAGGTGAGGATTTGTTAACAGTTGCATTTCAAGATGTGTTAAGACTGAAATGTTCTGGGCTGGAGAGATGGCTCAGAGGTTAAGACCACTGGCTGATCTTCTGGAGGTCCTGAGTTCAATTCCCAGCAACCACATGGTGGCTCACAACCATCTGTAATGAGATCTGGTGCCCTCTTTTGTCCTGCAGGCATACAAGGAGGCTGAACACTGTGTACACAATAAATAAATACATCTAAAAATAAAAAAGACTGAAATGTTCTACAAAGTGTGAACTATTGCTTTGATACATTTTCTTACTATATTTTTAATTTTAAAAGATACTTGTGGATCTATAAAAAAGTAAATTCTCTTTTAAAATGTTGAATAAATTAAGACATCTTGTAGTTGAAATATTTAATATTCTTTAATTGGCATTAAAATTAATAAATCAACCTGTAAATCACAGATGAATGATCATGTCTCATTTCTAATACTAAATTCTAAGTACTAAGAGTAGATCAGTTACTTTTGGTAACAAAAAGCAGATTTTTCTGGGAAATAGTTATGCTATATGAAATAACTCAACTTCTCTCTTTCTTCTTGTATGTGTTCTCGTCTTATCTTCTCATGATCCCCTAAAAGGGGTCATATTCAAAGTATCTTTCAATACATTTTAACTTTGTCTCTATGTGGGATAAAAAAAAAAAAAAAAAAAAAAAACAGGTCCAAGAAACAGCACTCAATCTGCAATGCTGACCAGGCTGAGCTATAGTCGTTAGTCTACGGGGAGAGGGAAGTCTAAGAATGGGAAGTGGAGGGAAATCTCCGTCTAGTTGAGCTTGGTCCTCTGCAGCTCTCTTCCCTGCTCAACAGATAATAAAGAAAGCTGAGAAATATTTGGACAGTTCTCCAATTATTCATAAAATTGAAATGCAAATGCTAAACCAAGTCTACGAACAGAATAGTGTTGCTGAGAATGAAGAGTCTCTTGTGGGAACTCACTGCAGTGGTGCACTGGCACACTGGGTATTTCTAGGAACACTGTGGGTTTGGAGGGACTCTGATACAAGCCTTCTAGGAGACGCTCATGCTCCTATTAACAGATAACAGAAGCCAACTGTTGCCGAAGGTGCACCTGACCCTTTGAACTGGTTGATTCAGTATTCCTTATTTCCTAGTCAGGGTGACTTGCTCATTGAATGGACGTTTGGTGAAAAACGCTACCTTGGCTTTCATTCACACTCTATAGAATACTTACTGAGTGCATTAAAGTGTGTATAACTATCTAGAATTAGCATGCTCTTGTAAGTAATAATGTTCATTTTCTATTCAGAGTAGGACTTGATAAAAAACATTTTATGGTTATGTCAGATTCTAAAGAGAATTAGATATTAGAAAAGGCTATATTATGGACTACACTTATATATAACAACAATTTGTGATTATAACTGAAGCTAACAGAAAGAGATGAAAATACCACGTAAAGGTATTAGTATCTAGGATTCATCACTGAAATGATATTAAATATTTGTAACTATGATGTATGTACTATGCAGACAAATTTACTTACAAAACAAAAAACAAACAAAAATACCATTCCACATAACTTCCACTTCTAAGAACTAGCTATTGTAGTTAACATTAAATGTGTGACATTAGTATTTGACAGATGGGCATTTTAATAAATGCTTGTCTTTTATTTCTGAAGTTATTATTAAAACAGGCAGAACTTTGTTCTAAGATTATAATTTTAAGGACCTTATAACG